AGCACATGCTTAGTAATATTAACTTAGTAATACCAAAATCCTGTTGACTTTAATAAGGCTTACACATATTTATTTAAGTGCTTAGCTAAATTAGGGCTTGCAATCTCAGGAATCAATTCCATTCACCCCTACTCTTGCTGATAAGCCTGGATGGATGTGAGCAGTTTTATTGCCTCTGAAGGCATTGCTGTCCAAAAGTAATCAGTTTGGCTGTTATAACAGGACCTGCTGTACTACCAGGGGATAGATACCAGCAGTACCTGCTGTACTTTGGGGATCTGAGCTGCGCTTTCTGAAGTATGTCTTGATTGGGCTTTGCTCTCTCCAGGCTTGTGGGATGATCTGAGTGTCACAAACTCTGTGAATAAAACTTTTGATGATTAATTTTTGCTTTTAATACTGATTCTGATTATTGTAAGTTATTTCTGGCTGGTGAGTGGCAGCCCAACTTACCTTCTGTGGAGAATCTTACTGTGAGTTTGGGTTTATACGACCAAAACAGTGACAAAATTTTAATGTCCCTATTTCTTGATTGGTTTTTACATGAATAAAAATGCATCTCTCGCATTGTTTTGGATGCTCTTTAAAAGTAGTGTCTTATTTTGTCTGGGACCACTTAAATCTGTGGAAACCCCCAAATCCAAAAGAAAACAAGTGCCAGCTTCTCAGGCAGCAAGAAATGAAAACATTCCCCATAAAAATGCCAGTGAGAGCTAGCCTTCGTTGAGCAGAGGAGGAAAAAGATAATTTTGTGATGGGGATGCCATCAGACTGAATCCCTACCACCAGCCTCAATATGTTGAAGTCTTCAAAGCCAGTCTGTGAACCACCCAACTTACCTGTACTTGGTTTTAGGTAGTCAACACTGAAAGCAGTGAGGATTTTTATAGCCTTGGCTCATCCTCGGTAGAGTGAGCTATGGGTATTGAGGTGAACCAAGTGACTGGCCAAGTCGTTTTTGTTTGAACACTTGTTTAAACAAAGTTTATGGAGGGTGCAGCAGCAACGGCTGCCAGAGATGGTAGTAAATTGTGTTCTGCGTGCCTCTGTCCTCTGCTGACCACCTTGCCGGAGGGCGCGGGCTGCTTGCGTGGGCTCGCCAGGGACAAGGCTCGATTTACAGAGCCCAGGAAGAATGTAAGGAGATGATGAGTTGTGGGATTTTTGGAGGTTTTTTAGGTTTCTTTTTTTTTTTTTCCTTAATCCTTTGGGGAGCCTAGAATGACTCAACTTTGGTTTTGCTGAAAACTGTTTTTTAGTAGGCTACGTGGGAGGAAAAAGCCAGTTTTGCAATATTGGGAGTTTTCCTTGCTGAAACAAAGCTGGTTTAAAAATTCCCCTTCCCTTCTCTGTCCCCTGCTCTTTTTCCTTGTTACCACCCCAGTCCCAATCTGGCATGTTTCATGTTGACCGTAAATATCTTCACCCACTTTTTTCTAGCAAAGGCGTTCATGGATGATGTGGTCACTTGAGCAAATATTTGTCAGAAGCCCTCTCACCTCCTCTCCCCCTTTAAGCCTTTTGGATGTCTTACATTGAGGAATATTATGCAGAAGTTTATTTTTCCTAGCAGTAAATTATAGTGACCTGCATGAACGAATGGAATGGTAATAAGGATTATGGGATTTATTTAAATTCCTTTCCTGTAGAGAGGCAGAAAAGTAATGAGGTTTTTGAAAAGTGACTAGTGATTTGGGGTGCTGGGTACCCAGCTGATGGCACCCAAAGGTGCCCTGATTTTACCTGGGCAAATATTCAACATTTTCTGATGCTCGGGCCCTGTGAGACAGGAAATCAGAAGTCCAAAAGTGACTATTAGAAGTCACGACCTGCATTTTTGAGTTCCGTGTACTTAATCATTTTACTTCCTTTTTGCATTGAATTTGATGAGTTAGAGTGTAATTATTAGTTTACTTTGAAAACATATGTATGGGAATGCGCAGCCTAAGATACCTGTGTTGAATTTACTGTGAGTCTTTCAAGAGATACTGCATTGGGACTTTAACCTAAAAGGGGGATTGGTGTTAGAAAGCTCAGCCATTTCTGTGTTGCCAAAAGCTTGTGTGGAGGTTGGGCATAAAATTGCTGAAGCGGTAAATTAAGACTGGCCAGAAGGGGAAACTCTGACAGTTTTTCTAGTTAAGAGAGTTCTACAGAAGTTAATTTTGTGTGGGGTTTTTTTGTGTTTTCATATGAATTTTCAGTTCCCACAGGGTTGTGGAGAGTTATGGATGTTTGTTTAGAGGCAATTGCGTATGTAGACCGCATCTTACAAACTTCAGGTTGTAATTTTAGGTCAAGTTGTGTGTGGAAAACTGTCAGTTGAAAGCCTCTGAAATTGTCTTTCCTATATGGTTTAACTGGTTCCAGAGTTGATTAAGTGTAAGTAATAGCAAATGGTATTAAACATGGTAACGTATTACACTAACATGAGCATCTGACTGTATGGTGTAATGTAGAGAACTCTCTGATTATGTCACAGATTTGGGAGTTATCCCAGCAAAAATCATGCCAAATAATGACACAATGCTAGTTAGGAATATCCAGTATTCCTTGATGCCAATAACTTTCCAAACCTTGAACTCTTTTGACAATTAAAAGCCTGGAGCCAGCAGGGCTGAGTAGTTTTCAGTCAGAATGTAGGTGTGAAGTATTCTCGTTTTTACCTTGTAATTACTTGCAAGAACCCTCTTAAAATAGTCAACTCAGCTCAGATGGTCTCATTCAAATTTACAAACCTGGCAAAACCATTGCACTGAAGTTTTTACAATGGGAGTAGAAAATACTGAAGAAAAAAGCAGCAAGTCATTGGCAGCCTCTCTGTATTGCACAGGATACTTGTGCACATTGACAGCGTTAGTGGGGAATGAGTTGGCCAGAATATTCTGTGTTGGACAAAGTTGTTCTTTAAATGTTCGGGATACCCCAATCAACTGCCTCTTCCTCTCTCCTCCTCCTCCATTTCAAAACAGGGGCTTAAGCAGGCTGTATGCAGGGCTTTGCTCAGGGATACAAATGTGTTCGATTGCAGTAGTGGCAAATGGTGGCAATACAAAACTCCGTTAGGATTCTGTGAAAGGGGGACGGGTCGATTTTAGCTTTTTATTGGAGTACTACCCAGAGGCTTCAATTAATAATGGATACTTATTGTCCAAGGCAACGTGCCAGTGCACAGTAATTGCTTACAACCGAAATGCGGAGAGACTGGGAGAAGGAAATGTCACTGTCCATTTTATAGATGAAGAACTGAGCTGTGGAGTGATGAAATTTCTTGCCCTGGGTCACACAGGAAGCTGGTGGCAGAGCCAAAAAGTAAAGCTGATGCTTGAATCCTAATCCAGTACCTTAATTAAAAGAATGTTCTTTCCCTTGTACAGTTTAGCCCATCAGCTGGTTTTTTACATGCAGCTGAAATGCCTTTCTATTCTTTTGTATTTAACAGTAGGTAGAAACTCACATTTTTTTTATAGTAAGCTTACTTCTCATTAAACATATATGAAGTCATGCAGTCTTAGGGGAGGACGATTGCAAACGATGTGGTTTTCACTTATGAGTTGTATTGTAGTGAATCCGGGTTGTAGGAAGCAACGTGGGAATGCAGCCACTGAGACTTGTATATAATTAGATCACTCCTGGATTGCAATTATCGCTAGAGTACAATTTCAGCAGTGGTAGTTCTGTTTAAGCATGGAAGTAACTAATTGAATTTGTATTTTAATGGCAAAAAAAAGGTTGGTCTTTGAACGCTCCTAGTGCAGGTAGCCATTTCTGTCCTATTTAATGTCATCATCCAGGGAAACAAAAGATAGTTTGGTTTCAGACAAAGTTCAGCCCATTACCTCATTTACTGGGTTTTATAAGCAGCTGCCATAGCACGACACATCTTCCAAGAATGTGTAAGAAGACCCTGCTGTTTACTATAAAAATGAACATAACTTTCACAAATATTTTTTTTTTTAAAAAAGTCCTTTTGCAACCAGTTTAGCTGTACTTTGACCAGTTTCTAATTTACTTAATAGCCATGCCTTTGGTTCTCGTTACTGAGGAGTGAACTCCAGAGGTGGCAGAGTACCACACAGTTGTCCCTTAACAGTAATTCGTATTTTCATATGAAAACAGTGTGAGAATAACTTCTCATCCGGGAAGCATTTTAAATGACTCTCAGCTTAAAGCTTGTGCCCCAAAAATCTCATGTATGAGTGGTTTTACTGATGGGTGTGCAAAAAACCGCTTTTATTTTGAACTCGGAGGTGTAGAAGGCTTTAGAGTGAATTTTATTCTTGCTTTTTACAGAAAGTTATTAAAAAAAAAATCTA